AATTCAACAGGATGCTGACTATTTCTCAGTTCAACCAAGAAGCCCTTAGCACAAAAAAAGACTGATATTTAGTCATATTTTCAGAAATGGGAGTGGGCCAATAACCTTTTATGAAGCCATGAATATGCTTTCTTATATTCTTCAAATCTTCAAAAATTTCTTATGGACACAATTAAGTTAACTTAAGACTAAAACATTTGAAATAATATAAAGGATTTTCTTCAATTACTTCCTGGTGAAGATGAAACATGATACACACTTGAGAAAGATTACAGAATGTACTAATGGAAATAGTTATCAAGTCAACAAAGATAAAGAGACTAGTTCAATGTAAATGCTGTTTACAAAAAACTGTTTGAACTTCTAAGTAAGCCTTATTTTATTTGAGGAGGATATAATCCTGAACATATACTGGGAGCAAACTGCATGCATATAGAGAGAAAATAAATTCAGTAAATACACAAAAATAGAAAGAGGCATAAGACAAGGATGTATCTTCTCACCAGACTTATTCAACCTTTATAGTGAAGCAATCCAGAGTAAATTATAATTCATTATTTTAAATAAATAAATTAAGTTTAAATTAAAAAGTAACTCAGAATTCAGGATTCATTATTGGCAGCCATCACCTTTATAACGTAAGATATGCAGATGACATAGTGTTGATAGCAGACATAGAAAGGAAACTACAGAAAAGTAAAGTGAAAAGAGAGGTTAGTAAACATCAATTGTAAGAAGATAGAATGAATGGTTACCAGCAATGGGAGAGACCAGCATGCAAATTACAAATTGAAGGACCAAAATCAAACAAGTACAACAATTTAAATATCTGGGAAGCATTTTAACAAAGGTTGGAAAGTGCAACACAGATATCCAAAGGTACATTGGGATAGTGAAAAAGGTCTTCCAAAAGCTAAGCAAAGTATTAAGAAACAGAAAAATATCATTAGAAACAAAGAAAAGAGTACTGGACTGTTATGTAATATCAGTCCTCCTATATAGTAGGGAATGCTGAGCAATCTCTTCACAGAGGAAGAGGAGTTTTAAAGCAACAGAAATAGGGTTCTACAGAAGGATGTTGAAAATACCATGGGCTGAACATATTAATTATGAGGAAGTTTTAAGAAAAGAAGGTAACAAAAGGGATACTTATGCTTAGAATCAGAAAAAAGAAATTGAAATTTCTAGGGTACAAAATGAAGAAAGAGGGCTTGGAGAATTTGACACCCACAAGACATTGTAGGCAAGAGGGACAGAGGAAAGTAGTGAATAACCTACATAAACTTTTTTAAATGGTTGGCAGAACATGCATTAGCAGAGATAGTAAAAAAACTCTTACTAAGAGCTACAAAAAAACAGGAAGTTCTGGAGAGCCATGATCACCAATGTCCCGAAGAGACACAGTACATAGAAGAACTTCAGCATAAAACTTGATATATCTTGATTTTATATAGACTACAGATGACAGAATATCTAACTTGGTCCTTGGTGGATATTTAATAACAAGTCTCATCAACTCAACAGAGAGACAGAATATTTATGTGTTCTACATAATTGAGATACAGTCACAAACACTAGTTTATAGAGGAGGAAATGGATTACTATCTTTTGTTGGAGACAGTTGTTTACTTTGAAAAGTTTCACCCCAACCCTCAACCCCATAAAGCCTCAAAAGCAGTCAAACAATTCTGAACAAATCTCAATTAATGACATGTTCAGTACTTTTTTTTCTTATAATTTCATTATTTATTTTATATTCTACTTTTTCTTCTTCTTTTACTTCATTCATTACAGAAAAGGAAAACTTGATACCCAAACATCTCACCCCTGTTGTCACACCCACCCAAAACAAAAATACCTACCAACCAGTAGCTAAACTTTTTTTTGTAATCTATTGCAAGTTTTCAGGATACAATTTCCATTAAACTGTAATGACTGAAAGTGGGAGAGGTGATCTTTGAAGTAATAACAGGTAGGCCTCAGGTAAATAGCAAATAGAATTCCCCAAACAGGAAGGCATACACAGGACAATGCAAGGAGATAACAGGTAACAGTATTCCAGCAATAATAAACATAGTCCAACAGGCACAATCAATTAAATTAAGCTGCCAACCAAAGGAGTCGGGTTCACAAAGAGTTCATTCCCAGAACAATACACAATAAAGCAGATAAGACCAAATAAAGGACAATAAGTTTACTGTATGTAAAAGATTACAATAAATCTGAACTTGTCTTTCTGTGTATTTGACTTAAATCCCTCCTATTTCAAAAAGCAGATCTTTGTCAAAGCAGAATTTACTAAGTTCAAGCAGAAATAAAACAATATTTAAAGACAGAAAAAGGTTCTTTAACTAGAAGCATCTCTTTTGGTTCCAAAAAATGTCTACAACCATAGTTTCTTTTCCACCTTTGACTTTGAACTCAAGTAGTAATTATTATATAATGAATGGATGCATTTGAATAGTTTGAAAACTTTTGATTCATTTTACTTTACTTTCATAATGGCAGAATGTAAATTGAAATTTTTAATGTTAATAAAAATTGATACATAAACATCTGGAACTCAAAACAGAGAAAAACATTGTTTCATTTTGGAAACCAGATAAAAAGTGAAGGGCACTATTTACATTATTCAGACTATTGTCCTCATCTTTGTTGCCATGTTTATCACAACATTTTGGCCGTTGTACACTCCAGCCTTCTTCAGGTGGTTGGAATTTCCAATTGAACCCATTATTTCACTCACTGGGATAGACTATTCTAGTTACATGTGCCATGTCTAATGGATGTCAGTTATCAGTTATCTCCTGTTAATTCCTCTCTGAAAGTTCTCCACTGCCTTAACCAGATATTGAATTCACACTCTTTGGGTCCTGTCACTGGATCTAACTAACACCTTTATCCACTGTGTCATGTGTCCTTGAGGACATCTGTGTATGAATTTCTGGGTATTATAAACCTAATGTCTTCAACAACCGTTATTTACAAGTGCTCATATTGCAATTTTTGCCGTTATCATTGCATTTTTTTTTTTTACCAGAGCTCATATTGCAATTTTGGTTGTTATTATCACTTTTCTCTGGCACTCCTTATTACTGGTTCCCATATTGTATTCATTTCTATGCTTGGTGGGCTCAGGAGAATTTTGTGGCCTAGCATATGTGCTGATTCCTTAAGTTTACAAATTTTCCAATGATGTTCTTTGTCTATGATCTCAACTTGATCCCACATAGAGCGGTGATCTCCCTTTTCTCTCCATATGTGGTCAGCCATGCCTGATTTTTCCACTTCCCCTCGTATTACAGCTTTCTGGTGGTCTTGAAGTCTTATCTTAAGGGGGCGGCCTGTCTCCCCTTTATATTTCTTTCTGCAGCTGCACGGGATAGAGTACACACAGTCTTTAGTCATGTTCTCTTCTATGGGGGATCTTACTTGGGAGAGATATCTGCAAAGTGTTGTCCCACTTTTGAAGGTTGTCCTGATGTTATATGGACCACAGATCCTTTGTATTTTCTCTGATAACCACTTCACATAAGGCAGGCAGACTGATTGTTGTTGTCCTCCTCTTTTACCCACCTATCCCAGTTTTTTCAGCTGCTGCCATGTACCCAGGGTAGTTGTTACATTGTAGGGTACAACTTATAGTGACCAATTCTTTATTTGTCTCTGGGTCACCACTTATGACTTTTGCTTGATGTTATAAGCAGTGGATGATCCCTTTCTTTATCCTGTATGGATGGTGGGAGTTGAAATTGAGGTACTGTCCAGTGAATATCAGTTTACGGTATACAAATGTCTTGAACCCATGCTCTGTACGAGATATTACAACATCCAGGAATAGGAGTGTGTTGTTACTTTCTTTCTCCATCGTGAACTGTATCAAATATTGAGTTCACATAGTCCAGTAGAACCTGAACATCTTCCTGGTGTGGCCAGAGTATGAAGGTGTCATCTACGTACCTTAACCATATAGTTGGCTTTAGAGATATAGATTCTAATGCCATTTTCTCAAAGTATTCCATGTATATATTCACCATTGCTGGTGATAATGGTGAGCCCATTGCAAAGCCCTCCTCCTGTCAATATATGTGTGATCCCATTCTGAAGTGTGTTGTTTGTGTACAGAAAGTCAACATCTCCATCAGATTATCTATTGGAATACTGGTCCATTCTTATAGGGATGAGTCAGAGGCCAATCTGTCTCTGACTACTGAGAGTGCCTCCTCCATGGGTACCCTGATAAACAAACTCACCACGTCTAAGCTCACCATCTGGTTGGATAGGATGGGAGCATCTTTGATTATTTCCACAAAGTGGGCGAAGTTTCAGACATATGAAGAAGACTTTCTGATCAATGGGTCAATTATATCTACAAGGAAGCAACTCAGAGGATGACACACAGAGCCTTGGCAACTAACAATATAGACAGATACAAAAATGAAGGAATTGAAGAAGGATGGTATAGAGGGAGAAGAACGACTGCTGGAAACAGGTTGAGATGGAGTGAGAATGAGACCCAGAAACAGGAGCCATAAAGAAACCTGGAAAAAGGCTGAGATGGAGCCATAAAGAAACCTGGAAAAAGGCTGAAATAAGTAATGCTGAAGGGGGGGATTAAGGTATATATGAATTTGTCAGAAAGTGATGAAAAAAAGGCTGGTATATGGAAAGATAATTATAACAGTAACAAACCTTCTGATCAATTAACTTAATAATAGATACTAAAAGATTACTTGGTAGCTGATGTTGTTTGTATCCAGCTTGTGTAAAAATCATGATTTCAAATATTGTTCTTCCAAACAGGCATTTCTTCACTTGACATTGGTGCAGCATAATTTTCCTATCCTGATTTTACCTCAATTTGACTTTTTAAATTATGATAAATCACAGGAAAAAATTCTTTAAATAGAATTATGACACCTACTTAATTTGGTTAAGAAAGATTGGAAAACAAAGAAATATTCAGAAAAGAATTTATGAAAAATCAGGAAGAAACTTACCTTTTTGCCAACCAAGCCATTCAATAAAGATGACTTGCCCACATTAGGGTAACCTGAAAATAAGAGAAAGATATTATAATGGAAAAAGAAAATATTTTCAAGAGAAAGCTTCTTTCAAATGGTTAACAATATAACAAGCTATCATTTTTTTCTTTCTACTTCTACAGAAGCATTTATGTTACTGAATTCAGTGCTTGAGTTCAAATAAAATGTAAATCTTGAATGCTGATTTTCAAGACATGCTGATTGTCCTCACTTGCAAAATTGGTACAGTATAAGTTTCTTGCTTACCACTCAGCTTTTTAGTAATGTGATAAACAAAACTTTTCATTGTAGATAACAGTAATATGAATTTTAAGGTTTTACTCCTATCCATATTAGAGATATGAATTATAACCTCTCAAAGAATAAACCTATGGAAATATCGGGAATTTCAAAGAATATGTAAAAGAACATGTGATTTAGCTTCAAATATAAGAATTAATGGTGAAATGATATATATATATATATATATATATATATATATATATATATAGCTGGCCACTCGTTATTGAGGATACCCATCTACTAGGGGCAGCTAGCCAACCCCTATTGCAGATGCTTGCTCAGCGGCATTTATGTTTATTCAACACCCACAGAGACCATCTGTGGTTTATACTGCAACTATGCTGAGCAGGCCTTAGTTAGCTTCTGAGAAAGAATGTGTTATCTAGCATGATCAACAATTTGAACAAGGCCAGCACGCTCAAGCCCACAGCCATGATGACTTGTAATTTTGTGCTAGCACAGCTATCAATGGCACCCAAGGGTTTTGTTTACCCAATTTCACTCATGAGGCTTGGGTCAATTCATGGTATGGTTTTCAGGCACTTTCCAAAGGTGGTACATGCTGAGATCGACTCCTCCAGTCCAATAATATGATATATCGACCATGGCAAGATTGGAACCTGTGTCTCATGGTCAGAATGCAATTATATATATATATGTGTGTGTCTGTGTAGATTTTATATATATATATATATATATATAGAAAGAGTGATAGCAATATTTTTATATCTCAAGAACAATATCAGCGGGGGAAAAAATGTATGACAAATTGAAAAAAGTTTTCATGTGACACATTTCATTCTGTAGGACTTCAACAGACTAAATTTATTACATTGGTGTGACTGCATAAACAATGAAATTTGCTAGATAAGAAAAGTAAATTAAAAATTCCCAGCATCCCTTGTTTGTGCACACGTGTACTCACACCAACATAACAAATTTAGTCCAATGAAGTCCTACAAGACAAAACGTGTCACACAAATACATTTTCACTTTGTCATACATTTTCCCTGACACAGTATAATCCTATAATATACAGTTTCCTTTATTTTCTTGACAAATATGACATTTGTATTTTTGTGTGTCCTGTTCATATTTGCTGGCCAAACAAAAAAAAATACAATCCAATTTACTTTTTGACTGATTGTAACAATGATGGTCTAGGTGTTCTGCTGGACAGGTTCAAGCCTGAATCATCAGGGTTCTGTGATAAGAAGTTCTTGACACTACAGAACAAAGACTACAATACCATAAATTTCAAAGAAAAAAAAACCAAGTATAATAGGAGCATTTAACTTAGTTTAAAAGTTAAGAATGAATGAGATTATACACATAGAAGTGTGTTTATGCCTATCTCACATGGACTCTTGAATGCAAATGGTATGAAACTATCTCCATTCAGTGTTGATTTCTATTTACACTGTTTATATACACAAATTATTGATCACTCTTTCCCAATAAATATAGCAAATTTTAAATTATATATATGTTGCATATATTTTGGCAGCATGTTTTCATTAAGACATGTCTCATTGAATAATTTAGACAAGTTTTGTCTACTTATTTCAATAGGATCCTCATATTCATAGACAAGATTCTTAGTATCCTTACTAAAGGAAGAGAGAAAATTACCATGTTGATATATATTCATTTATTCTGAGTACTTTCAACCTTACCTAAAGGTCATTATCAGAGTGTCATTTTTTTCTAAGACAAAAATTGTTGCGTTCATCATTTTTCTAAGACAAAGTTATTGTCTTCATCTGAAAGTTAAATTTTTACCTGTGAAGTGAAAAATGGTAAGGTTATGTATTGCACAATTTAAATTTCATGATGCAAATGTCAGGGGAGGTAACTAAGTTATGAAATGTCCAAACGTTTTTATTTAAAAAAAACAAAAAACTATTTAAAACTATGAGCTAAAACCTAGATATTTTAAACTATTTAATGTAAACATTTTAAAACATTTGTGCAGTATTCATAATTTATGCAGTATTCATAATTAATTTTCTTAAGAGTTTTTAATAGAGATAGCTTCAAGAATATTCAGTTTATGTTTATTATTTTCATGAAAAAGTTTAGATGTATTTTCAACAAGAATTTTCCAAATTGGGAATGTGAACAGGCATACTCTTGTAAATGTTTAGAAATCTTAGATACATCATTCAAATGA